TAATACAAGTGTGACAAAATTTGAAAATGATAGTTATTCTCTTTCCGAAGTACGAATCTCGAATCAAGTATAACGTTGATAATATCAACGTTCTACGGTTACCTTTTACCTATCGTGCTGGAAAAAAGCATCGGCACCAACATCGGTGAGCCTGAAGGTCGGTACACTCCGGAACAGTCATTCTGTGGGATTTCATGAATCTACCTTGCCGGTTCGAGCCCTCTTGGGCCCTTTTTTCGGGCCGCGCGTTAACACAGGCATTGCCACTCTTTAGTAATCGCTCCTCGGTGCCCAATGGAAACTGATACCCAAGACACCAACCATCTCGGGGCGGGTTTTTCTAGGTAGGATTTATCCCACTGGGTTTACCACCTGAAGGTTTTCCCTGCTCCACAGGTAGCATCCTGGGCGAACGCGAAGTGGAGAGAGGACAGAGAGGTACAGGATTTTAAGTGATGGAAAAAGTAGAGAGGAAGGGCTGGAGGTCCAGGAGATAGGTGTGAAGGCACTTGCTGGGCCGAAAGGCTGCAGATGGATAAACTCCGCAAAGAAAAATAAATGAAAAATTTGATTTAAAAGATGAGTCTTCCAAAAGTCGACTTACTTTCAACAATATGCTAGTAATACAGAGTATAGCCAGAATTATTTGAATTATTCCGGACTCGAGCATGCATCGCATGAACACGTCGCCCAGTCTTGAACCATATTAAGAAATTAGGAGATGTTCTCTTATGTGTGCATTGCAAAAATAGTGATAGCAACTAACTTTATGTTCCTTTTGTGTAAATCTATAATATGAACTAGTCTTCCGTAATAAATCTTATTCAAGTCAATGTTATTATTGGTATTTTCTGGCTTATCGAATAGATGTTCCATCAAATACCTAAAAAGTAAAATACTTTAGTAAAAATGATTATTGTGACATTTAAAATAAACAAATTTTGAGCTTACCCAAGTAGATGGAATATTCCCATCATATGCAATAGTATTATCCAATTTAAGAGATCGACCCCACACTGTACAGTTGATAATAGCAAAGCTGACAGACTTACATGAATTATGACAGGATAGTAGTATTTGTTATAATCGACGAAATATTCGATTGGCAGAATGAAATCGTTAGATCGTGAATGGTTGAAAGGAACATCGAAAGCAGTAATTTTTGGAAAAAATAGGAATATCATAATCGAAACACTTGGCGCGTAGACGAAGACTAGAACAATGATACACTAGCAAAATACTAGCTTATAGACACTAGCAAATACTAGATTACACTAGCAAAATAAAAATGAAGTTACGCAATATTTATGGCTTACAGAAAAGAAATTTAGAATAGAATATAAACTCTTCGTACGCTTGTTTCAGTGGTAATTCCTCAACGTTTTTCAAACTGCTCCAATCAATCCTCATGTGCTCGAAACACTCCTTATACTATAATAGAAGAATTTTTGTTATCATTGCACTTCAATGCATTCGTATTTTCATCATCTCTTACATAATTGTCTTTTATCCAACATAAATGAACCTTCACTATTATTGGTAACTCAAGAAATATGACTGGAGCTAACATAATTAATAAATCGAGAAACACTTCCGAGGTGAATATTGTGATGATCTAAAAGAATGTGCGTAATTTTAAAAAATCGTTGTTATAATTGATTAAAGCTACAGAATACCTGTAACAGAAAGAAGAATACAATATTCATCGAGCACAGAATCCTTTGAATCAGTTTTGTTACTGACTCGTCGTACGGCCACATACCGCAGAAGAGTAGAAATGAGCGATAGTTGATGAAGATGTTATTTTCGATGAAGTCCATTACAGTATGAAAGTTGAAATGCAACTGAGACACCAAAGATATTAGTAAACAACGCGACCCTGGAATCTTGCGTGTCGCACGAGAACCTCGATGAATATTAAAGATCGAGGCACATAAGATAATTATGGGATGCGACACTTCCTGTTGTGTATTCATAGCTTGAACGTGCGACAGTTGCAAATAATAGATACACGTGTTTGAAAACATTTGCACCGGGAATTTATTTTCTCTTCGTGCGACAGGAATCACCCCTTTCAAAATGAATATTCTCACGTACGTGGCAATTACGTTTACGTGTGGATAACTTCCTCACACGTGAAAATTGTCAAGGGGCTGTTGCAGGCGTCATAAATATTACAGTAAAGTTTTCTTCGGTGGTGGCGCGATACAAATCGTTGCACTCGTCTTCCAGCTCTCGTGGAGTTAACATCGTCCTCTGAAAGGTACTCTTATATTTCTTGACTCGTAACATTTTCACAGCTGCATGTGTATTGCGCGATGCAGAACATGACTTCATTTGAATATTCAGAAATTCAAAGTGACCAGTTTTAAACGGATACTTGATACTGTGAGTACGTTCGTCTCTTTGTCGTTTCATTAATGCAATATCAGTGATTGATACACCGCGAGCAATATCCTATTTGAAAGCAGATGTTTGTTCATTGATTTCACTTTTACAAGGCACGAATCAGGAGACACGATCCCGAGTATCGATCTTTTTAGTTCCATTAGTTTTAATAGGATATTCCCTTTATTTAATGCATTTTTCACCTAACGTGTGTTTCAATCTACTAGCATTTGACAGGAAGACAATTTTCACCAATCGAGTAATAATCTCATTCACGGTTGACGTCAAGTAGGAGGATACGTAGTATAAGAGTGAAGAGTGACTAGACTAGGATTTTATTACATTATTCGTGCAGAACTGTAGAAAACTATTCAGAACACCGAAAGCTGAATGAAAACGTGAATGTTTATTTAGAACACATTTTTCAAACTGGTTCTATACGGTGTTTTACTTGACATAAAAATTTAGACGACACTAATCGTTTTCAGAATTGCATTGGTGACTAACAATTGGAACATCAATCAGTTTCTGGATCTCTAAGTGAAGTGGAATATGTCGAAAGGGGGAGTGGATCCGGCGGTGGTTTCCGGTTGGCTTCCGTTCGGACGAGTTCAACTCCGAATATGAATTACCGCAAATACACACGTGCAAATGCATACCAGGTGGAGGGAATGAACTGTGAAATGAATTTAAAACTTCGGATTGTTAAGTGAACAGCCGAAGGGGTGTTGTCTTCCAGGGGCATGGGATGCACGCGGGAATGTAAGACAGTTGACGATTAATCTTACAGGAATTATATTACCATCTACTGTCTGATGGATGAACAATCCCATAGCTTAATTACGTGCCACGATTATGCTAATCTTTCGGAACAGGAAGGATGAGAATGCTCAGGCGACATTCAGTGCCGAATTGTGTTTCTATACAACCAGAGGTATGCAAGTAGATGTAGGTCAGTCACTCTATAGATACTTCGGTCACGTGTTCATATTCGCATTAAAAATTAATGGTGTTTCTCTTTTCGTGAATATTGTTTGACTAAACTCCAATTTCACTGAAGTGTGGGATTTGCTGTATGGAGGAGTTTGGAAATTATTCAAAACGTCGTTTTAAAATCGATTTTGGTAAGAAAATAATAAATTATTTAATGCAATAACTTTCATTTGTTTTTTGATAATAATACAATAGTTCACGTAACTCATAATTGAATATTAAAAGAGAAAATAGGCGAATATATGCAAGATTATATGTTTTTGTTATTAGATTTGAAATTTTGTTTTTAAAAAAACATTCTTTGATTATTGGGTTCTAGATTCGATTATTAACATTGACGTGATGAAATTGTACAGTTTTTATTCACTGAAATTATTTTAGCCTATTATTAAATCTTTTGCTTCGATTCAATTAATTAAATTCATTTAAATTATTAAAATCGTTTTAAGTTATCAATTTAAGTTATTAAATCAATTAATTACATTTATTTTTATATTTATATCGCAAATGTCATACGTACTTACGAATAAATATGATAAATATAATGCAGGCATATTGTTATTACTGTAGTTAACGAATATCGGTTAGTACGAGCGTAGTGTACTTCGAAAAAATTTACGAATTTGTTGGAACTCGCTTTTAT